AGCTAGGGTACAGCAGGGGATGGGTGAAATGGCTGCGTCAATAACGACTCTCGGAAGTTCTTTCCTCTCCCACAACCTACCCACCACCTTAATAAAGTTTTCCAACTCCACACTATGAAGACAACTGGCCCACTGAGTACGTTCTTTTCAACTTGCTGAGCGAATGGGTCGGCAGCTATTGTGCCATTTCTCGAAAGTGCACGAGAACGGGAAAGGTGGTGGCACCCAAGAGCCGTCTCCCAGCTCCGCTTGGGTTCAGCACTTGCGTCGATACAAAATATGGACGACACTTCAGATGATATTGGGCGAGAACAGACAATGTATGGCCTACCATGTCCTTGTCTACATGAAATCCGATGCTCCAATCGAAAGGGTAGGGCAAATTAAGGAGACGTCGCGCCCGTTGCCGCGCGCGACGAAGCGGCAAATTACGATTCTCTCGCCCGTTTCCCGTTTGGGTATGGCTAGGCATCTGGCTAGCTGGCACAGGTGGAGTTCGGAGCCGGATTCGGAAGCAGGCAGCTAGCGCCGCCGCGGGTTACACTCGCAGAGCAGACAGGAAAATTTTTGCAACTTCTAATAGCATTTCCCTTCCACTCTTTCCAGTGTCCGCCCCAAAACTGTCGAAAGGGGGGGGGCACTAAGCGCGATTGAAACAGAAGCCAGGAAAGTACCGAAACAATTTGTCAGAAGGCAAAGATTAAACTCCACCCTTCTACCGACCAGATTGACCCCTCTCGCAGGGCAGTCCTCCAACGCTTCTCACTTAGCTATTACTGCTTCATTCATATAGTGTGGATTGGTATTCCTCTGAAACTGCAGCAGGAATCACACATCGGAGACAACCTATGAAAAACACGCCGATGAAGGGTAGGAACCGCAGTGGCGTCATTTCCTCACTTGCTGTGCAGGAACACACACTACAAGAACCTTTCCCGCGCCAACCATTGAAGGAAAGTTCGTGATGAAGAATGAAGTGGTTGATCAGACGATCTTGTAATCTTACGTTGTAAGCTGTGTTACTGAATTTGTCACACGGCTAAAGAATTATGTTTGATTGTAGATAGTTCACTTAGAATCTTAATAGTTCCGTTTTTCCCAGGAGTATAGAGCCTGCAATGTTTTGACGTATTAGAGTCGAGGTCGTCAACAGTGCGTTTTGTCAGCGTGAAGAACAATCGAGGGTTCGTACAATAAGTCGATGAATCGTGAGCAACTTAACGTTAAAGTCAGCTAGTCATTAGAACACTGGTGATTTGGTTTTTGTGTGTTTATGTAGTAATAGATTTTGTATTCCAAACTTTTACTGTGACCTTGTTCTGTTGTTTGGACCTTAAACTTCTTCAGATCAACTAAAATCGGTGGGCGAGAAAGCAAAAGCGAGAATTATTAATATTATCAATTGATTAATTGCGAATTACATCTTACACCTGAGAGAGAGAACGGGGGAGGGAGGGGGATAGACAGTTCGGCAAGACACCGGTAGACAAGGGGGCGAAAGAGTCTGTGGAGCATCGCATGATCAACGTTTGTTACTGATTTACATATAGTCACCATCTTCCCATTCTGTACGTTGTAATTCCTTCGTCAAAGATACGCGCCGCGTTCATTTGATGTCCTTAGCCTTAGGCACTGTAGTCCTGTGTGCAAGAATTGAGGATGTACTAATTTTGAAGCTCAAGAGCCCGTGCGGAAAGCTCCGCCCGCTTGCTACTGTACCAGAGCGCGCCCACTGACTACGATGACCCCGACTCAGGGCACATCGTTGTTGGGGAATCCCCAATAGGGGGTCGTATTTGGCCGCCAGGAGAGGGGGTCGTATTTGGGCTGGGAAAAATTTATTTTGATAGTTGATTTTTCTCGCTTCACGGACGTTGTAAGGGGGGGGGGGTCGTACTTGGTCATTGTTGGGAGGGGGGTCGTATTTACGTTTTGGCGTTGTAGGAGCGGTGGTTGACTTTTGGTGATTTTCCTGTTTCATGCGTACTATATGCCCCCCCCCTCGACAGCAAAATTTTTGGGAAAAAGTAGGGAAGTTTTCGGGAAATTTTGGAAAAAGTGGCAGGAAGTTGGGGAAAATCTGAGAATTGGGAAGGGGGGGGGTCGTATTATCTCGCGGCTTTTCCTGTTTCACATGTGTCACATGTGCTATTTACCCCCTCCCGCTCGACGGCTCGATTCGATGAGGAGGGACAGAGGGCCGGAGGGGGGGGGTCGTACCAACCCACCAAAAAAGGGGGTCGTACAGACTCGCTAAAATCACCAACCAATGATATGCCCTGCCCCGACTTTCATTTTTAACTACTGCCTGAGGGTGCGGATGTTCCGCCTTTGAATCTCTCGTTTTCAAATGGTGGGAGTGAGGTGATGAGAATGTGCCGGCACTAACAAGTGATAATTCGTCCGACCACCCCTTATTCTCCTTGTGCTCGTACAAGCGCACTTCAGCATCAGGTTCTATATGGCATTAATCTTAATCACAATAAATAATCACATGGCAAGATTGCCCCACAGTGCTTAGGTTGGGAAATCCCAGCCCCAGTTTGAAAATATACGTCACTCTGAAAGGCATTTTTCGCGATTATTGCTTTGAAAGTGCTCCATTCTCATCAGTGAAGCCCTTCTTTCGATAATGCATTTTTAGAATCAAACGTGTTCGAGTTAACGTTATCTATGAAAAAGCCATTCCAAGAAGTTTGCCTGAACTCACCGATTCTTCGGATTGGCTCAATGACACACCACCGTCGATTGATCTGGAGGGATACGTAGATGACGTGAGTATTGTCGCTTCACCTTTTTGCGGAATGCACATCACATCTTCCATCTGCATTTAGGTGCCTGAATGGGGTGGAATTGAGCAAGAGGTTTCTTCAGGTGTTCCCGATTGGGTCGAGGGTGAAGAAAACGAGAATGAGGTTCGATACTGAGCATTAAAGGCAGCGTCCACGTTCACTTGATGTTCCTACGCCCTTTCTGGGTATCATAGCCCTCCCCATAAGGATGCAGTATGTACTAGTTTTGCATCTCACAAAGGCGAGAGGATAGCGCCTATCGCTAGTAAAGAGTCGACCGCCCCGCCCACCTGGCGACCACGACGCCCAACTTCATTTCTAATGGTTGCCTGATGGTGCGGTTGTTCCATTGCTGCTTCTCTCCACGTCGTGTGGTGAGAGTGAGGTGATAAGGGAAAACAGCTGAAATCAACAAGTGAGGAATCGTGCAACCACACGCCCTTCTCTTTGCCTTAAGGCACGTACAACCGCTATTCGTATGAAACTCCTTATAGGGCATTTTGCATGTTTTCTTTTTGATTTTTCTTCACTAATAGGTTTCTTGCTACCTTGCTATTACTACCTGAGCCGCATACTCATCAAATTTGAACGCGGGCGCTGCCTTTAAGTCATTCTGAGTTGTACTATTTTGCCATATTCACAGCTATTTCGGGCACCTGACGATGGTGTCTGTGACTCCAATTTGTGGCGCAGTAGACCTCTTGCTCGAACAGATGGTGTGCTCTCCAGCCGTCATTCTTACAATCGAAAAAGAAAGGCGATCAAAGCGGATACTTGCCTCCGGTGCGTTTCACAACACGGAGGGATCTACCGAGAAATAAAAGCTATCACTACGTGTTTACATATATGTGCACCTTTCCAGGTATCCCAGCGGGAGTAATGACTTATGCGGCGATAGCTCAACAGCGGCATCTCTCGGTAATTTAGGGCCAAACGGTACGTTCATTCCGTTGTGTTTGAGGAATGATCTGTTATGTCCTTCATATTTAAGCTAATTGGGATCTACAATCTTCCAGTCTTGACAATGACTTGAGTGATGACGTCAATAGGAGGCAGTGTGCTGAGGTAACGCCTTCTGTTTGTTTTCTGGTGCTCTGATGAAGGTTGTTCCCTTCACTAGATTAGGCTACAAATCCATGCGTTGTGTGTCGGGACATGCTACGTATCGTTACACGCCAGTGATGTTGGGGTAAGGGGGGGGAGGGAAGAATAGTTCGAGAGTGGGTGAATCGCTTTTTATGGAGAGTGAAATAATTTTCCGTAGTCCGCCTTCCAAGTGCGCTATCCGTTACGCCACCGAGGCCGCCTCTCACACACATCGCTGCTTGGGCAACCCCTCCCCCCTTTTTTGTCAGAGGGTTGGTACGACCCCCTCCTTTGGTTTCCCTCCTCATCGAGCTGTCGAGCGAGGAGGGTTACGTGACATCTTCAACTTTTGTGCATGGTCCTGTTGCGAAACTAAGAGACGCAGACAGATAGACGGACAGTGCCTGCCAAGGCAGCGAGACGCGCAAGAAACTATGGGCGAGCCAGGGAACGAGCTTCATCATGCGAACGTTTTTCAAGGGGAGGAGACTCCGGGGTGGATGAGCCACTTATCATACGTGAAAAGCTGGAATGTGCGAAGTCACAATGACCATAGAGTGCCACGCGGACGAGAGAGAGCAGAGAAAAACACAAATTCGACGCGTTCAAAGGAATTGAGTTCAAGTTGTCCGTAGACGAGCGAGGGAGCGAGGAGGGGCGGTGGGGTAGGTAGCACATGTGAAACGGGAAAACCGCGAGGAAGATACGACCCCATCTACCAACAGTGAGTGAATACGACCCCTCCTCCTTGGCATGTCGTTGTTAGGGATCCCCCCCCTGTTGGGGAATCCCTAACAATGGTGTGCCCTATCTCACACTCTTAGCTTCATCATGCGAACGTGTGAGTGCTATAGGGCTATGGCACAAGAGCTATCAAGCTGAGGGGGCGAGAGGCGCCCTAGATGGCGCAACGGGTTGTAAACTCGTGAGGTGTGAGTTGGAGTCACTTTGAGGGCAACAGTTCTGCCCATAACTCAACATTTTGTGATGATTTTCAGTTTTGAGCAGCACTTATCGTAAAAAAATCAGTACAATGCTTTTGTTCAGGAGTTCGAGTTTCGATCAGGAAGGACAGCATTTTGCCGAATTTGTGAGCTCCATGTTAAATCCACTCTCAGACGAATGCACATATACTCGTAAGTTCGGTAACTAATAATAGGTTTGTGTCCTAGACTAATATCCTTGGGCGCTTTTGATTTCGTCTTTTGGTTTTCCATATAGCATCATTAAGATGTCACCTGCGACGTCCAATATACAGATGCCCTATTTGTGATGTCTCTTCAACGTATCACCTTTCGAACATTCGAGTTCATATTAAGAAAGTCCATCATATGACGGTAAACATTGTCATGCCTTTCTCTTCTTTGATTCTTTTCACTCAATTTCTTTGAAGATTTTCTGTTTCAGAGCGAGCCCCTTTGTTACAAGGAGGAGTACGAAAACGAAATGAACGCCTTCTTGTACAGGTACGTTTCGATAGCGTATGCCTTCTTGGATTAAAAGCCTGCGAAGTCTTGGAGGAAGGTGTCTTTGAGATTTTCAGCATTTTTTCACTCATTTTCAGCTGTTTCGGAGATCATCAGATTTTCCGGCGACAGGACCCAGATGTGGTAGCTTGTCTAACAGATATGTTGAATTGTGTCAGTAATGGTTCAACAGCATGCATGACGATGACAGGTATTGCGTCTATTCATTGTTGACTCGGTAAACTAATTTGGCAGGCTCCACTATGTCCTCCGAGGCCGCCTTGCCCTTTCAGCCTTTTCCTCCTTCCACGCCAGCTGCCGTTATTTTTCGCTAGAATTTTCAAGCTGTGACAAAAATTTGGCTGAGGAGATCACGACGTCGCTTAGCACTGGGCTTCCAACGTCCTTATTTACAGTCTAGTTCGCTGCGGATGGAGGATGAATTTGGGAGCCCGTTTCTTCTCTTTTTCTTTATGTAGGCGACTAGACTTATCAGTCCACATCAATCCATCAGTCATATTCCATCAATGTTTGTCGCTTACCCGTTTCCGAAAGCGGTGGAGGACGAGCTGACGATTCCCCATACCCAGCCCCACTGACACGTCCCATCATCCGCAGCGAACAAGACTGTATAGATTCAGATCACACCGAGCCTAGGGCTCCGAAAGGACACAGAAACGGCACGATAGTTCGCAGAGTGATAGCGTAAAAGAGTGGAAGGGATTACGTTTGGGTAGATTGCCAAAAGGCGCACACAGGGATGTGTGCAGTACGGCATTGTGACCTCCCGCTAGACTTAGGGAAACTGTTCACTTTACCAGAGGTCCTATAATAGTTCCTTTTTCCTGAAATTTGGAAGAATTAAGGCTTTTCTAAATCTACCACAAGATAGCCAACTCCTTCACTGATCTATAAGAGTTTTGGATCTCATTTAGAATTGCTATTATACTCTTCTGAACTTGCTCCGCAAGATTTTGCACTATCGCAGTTGGGCAAGACCGTGGTTGCCTTCACATTTCTAGGAGTGAGCATGCTGGAAGGAAAGCTGTTCTCTCTCAGTGAGGGCGAAGACGAGCAGCTTTCAGTTACGCCATAGCGTTCCCCTTCATTCCCCCGATTCCCAGTTACATTCTGCTCTTTCATTTGTGTGATATTAACTAGGCTTTACACATTGGCTGCAACTATGAGTGGAGAACTCTGAAAATTTTCCCTATATTTCCAGATTTTTGCTCTCGGAGCGATGGCCAGGAAGAACGAGTTCCGCTTGCTGC